TGCCCCCTCCAGAACCTCCCTGCCCCTTCTCCGACCCCCTGGCCCCCTTGTTGTTGGCCTTTCTTCACCTAATGTCTCCGTGAGCTTGCTCAGGAACTGCCTGAGCTGCTTGTCAAATGCTGGGCAACAGTGGGGGAGGAGCTCCAGACTCCCGGAGCCGATCTGCCATGCAGGGAGGGAGGGAGGACGACAACGTGCTCTCTCTGGCTGAGTGTCCGAGCCCCATGTAAGTAACACCGTCGGCGGCAGCACTGTTAACCCTGCGTGCTCTGCATCAGGGGGAAGTCCGGACATTTACAAATTCCCCCCGGACGCTATTTTTAGCTTAAAAAGCCGGACATGTCCGGGGGAATCCGGACGAATGGTAACCCTACTACATGCATTCTTCCTGTTACTTATCTCATGCAGAGGCAGCTGTAGCATGGGTTCAGTTGCACCCACAGAAATCAGGCCCAGATTATCCAGTGTGCACTACCAGTGCACTTACACAGGACCCGTCTCAGGTTTGGTCTGCTGCCTTTCCATCATGAGAATGTGGGGAGTGACTTGCCGGTCCCAACTGGGCCCTGATCCCATTGTTGCTGCTGCTGGCATCACGACACCCAGCCGAGGCAATCCACTGAGCCAATAGCCCAGAGGTAAGAGTGGGGCTTGGGACACCATTCCCACCAACAGCACTGCTGGAGCTCAGGAAAAAGCAGGGCTGAAAGTGGCTCCCGGCCACATACAGGGCAGAGCGCCCCCCATCCCCATGGGGAGTGCTGTGACCCCCTTGCTCCACAGGGAGGGCAGCAACTCCACAGATTAGACGAATTTTAGTATAATGCACCCATTGAATGGGGGTGGGGCTACATCCTCCTCTCATCTCATGTATTGATATTCACTACAGGGGCTTTTGATCTAATGTTAAGTCTTTGATCCTACAACTGACATTATGCAAGTGGACGCCTGCACCTGCATGGAGTCCCCAGTGATGGCAGTGGAGCTCAGTGCAGGTATGGGGGTCTGCTGCAGGAATCAGTGGCAGGATTGAGGCCTAAGATTTTCCTAGTGCCCCTTACAGGGGAACTGGTAAAGACCTGTTGATTTAGGTTGCCTAACACTTTCCATTTTAAAAAAAGATTCTTTTCTTTGAGAAGCATTAATAGCTCTATTGTTTGCAGCAGGCCTTTGATAGTCAGCAGGGAGAAATCCCTCAGGCCACAGAAGTGCCTTTTTTTTGCCTAGTGAAATTCCGTTCAGATTTAGGTGAGTTGTAAAAAGTGTTAAACGAAAAACAATCCCAATTTTCTTTTTCTTACTGGCATGCCACAGAAAAGTATTGGCAGCCTGCCAAAATCAATCACTATTCTAGACACCCTGGTCCATGCTGCCATCAAAGCAGCTGCAGCAGCCAACACTGTGCTGGGAACATTTGGGAGCTACCAAAGCAACTGCAGGGGGGAGAGCCAAGCTGCCCCCCCCCCCCCCCATCAATCCCTCCAATCTCACCCGACTTCAGGGGGCACCATATGCATCACAAGCTCCCCCAACTCCTGGAGGGTGGGGGGATGAGAGAGACAAGCTGAGATTCCCACAAAAACCCTTCTTGACCCAGCATAGGGCCCCATCAAATCAAACCTCCTCTGGGGGCACTACATGGGGCAGGTACTCCCGATTTTTTAGGACAGGAGAGAGCGAGCCAAGCTGGACTCCAACCATAATGCATAGGCACTGTAGCTCAAGTGGTAGATGTCTGTGCTGCAGTGGTGGAGGTTCAGATGTGTAGACTGGAACTTGGTCAAAAAGTGCGTTATTTTGACAAAAAAATGAAAAACTTTTTTGACTTTTGTTTAGTTAAATACCTCAAAGATTCCATCTCTGGTAGGCATCTAATTAGAAGTAAAAGATCCTATAACAATTTCTGAAATAATTAGGTGATAAGGGGCAGGTCTGAACTCGGTGGCTAATTCAATTAGGACTGGAATGGGGACAAATTTTTCTCAAAGGAGGGTTCTTTATTGTGGAATTCCTTCCCAGAAAAAGTCTGCCAAAACCCCTCCTTAGCTGCCTTTAGGGTATACATCACGTTTTCATTTATTTCAGCTGGCCTATTTTTGGCTGTCTGGGCTCCCTCCCCTTGCTTTTATATCTGCTACTCTTGTTTCTCCACTCTTCTTATTGGTCAAGAACTGATCGCTCTGTAGGTTGGGTGATTTGATGGATATTAGGTTTGTTCTAGGTTTTAATGGGTATGACCCTGTCCCAGTTTTTCTGAAACTGTATATCCCTGTACATTTTAGTTGGAGAGCTTATTCTTTTTTAGGTTTAAAAAAAGGTATTTTATTGCATGGCAGTAGCTGTCTCATTACTGGCACCCTTATAAGTGAATTAAAAAACTAAATACTGGAGTCACGGCCAACATTTTTTATTTAACAGGTTCTAATAACCATGGCTGCATAGAATTATTTCTGAAAACTACAGTCACCACTTCTAGTGCCCAAATGATTATTTTGAAATACTTTGTAATCTCTCAATTATAATGAGTGCTATCTGAAACCAAGGTCAGTTCTCTGAACATCCTTTTCACTATTCTATGAATGCAAACAAATTCTTGAATTGTAATCACCTTTAAACAATGAAAAAGGTTTTAAAATTATATTAATTTACAAAACACATCATAGCTTAAAGCCAAAGTAAACTACTTGAAAGACACTTAAAATTACTCTAGCATATATCTGAAATATACTGAACATCACTAACTAAAGGCAAAGACACTTGTTAGAAATATTGTAGACCAGATGCATTATGAAAAATAAACGTTTATCTAATAAAAAAATAGCAATGCATAATCTACCAGATCAAACTCTTTGTCTAGTGTACTGGCTCAGAATTTTGCCTCTGAGGGATAGCTTTGTTTCTTTTGTATAGACAGACTAGAAGAGCACACAGATTAATGAAATCCAATACCTTCTTGTCAGATGAGTTAGTCATCTAAGTATCGCATATTGAATATATAGCAAAACCTTTCTGGTGTACTATCATTTATTCAGATAAAATAATTTAGTATATTTAACAAATATATACACAATGTTACATACAAAATTTGACAAGTGAAAACAATGCAGACTCTTTGTAAATTTCATATTTAGTTAAAATAATGAACTCTTCCAGGAGTACTAAATAGGTCCCAAGGTAAAATCCAAGAAAATGCATTTTTCTTAAACAGCAACCTGAATTCCCAAGCCCATTGCAATTTCTATTAATTTTTCCTTTGTATTCAATGTCATTGCTTCATCAAGTTCAGAGGGAGAAGCAGAGTTTTCAAATGACTGTGGTGTAGTTTGAAGTTCAAAATACATTGGCTCCATTATGGAGGTCTCTGATTCTACCATAACCTTTTCTGCAGTAGTTTGTGACCATCTCTGACATCTTGTGGTATGTAGTTCCACTGATGAATGGCTTCTTTTGCAAGAGGCATAGCTGTCTTTTCCAGTACTGTTTTGAACTACTGAAGACTTCTTTGGTGCCATCTTGTTCTCAAGACCCTGATCTAAACCCATGACACCATTATAAACTGCTAAATTCAGCCTCAAGTACCCATCATCATCTTCTTTGTATCTAAGAGAATAAAATTAAAGTAATGAAAATAAAAATTAATGTAGCTTTATATAGATTAGAAAGGCAAAGGCAAAAAATGAGCTCAAACTAGCTACAGAAATAAAGGGAAACAAGAAGACTTTTTATCAATACATTAGAAGCAAGAGAAAGACCAAAGACAGGGTAGGCCCACTGCTCAGTGAAGAGGGAGAAACAGTAACAGGAAACTTGGAAATGACAGAGATGCTTAATGACCTCTTTGTTTCGGTCTTCACGGAGAAGTCTCAAGGAATGCCTAACAGTGAATGCTAATGGAAAGGGGGTAGGTTTAGCAGATAAAATAAAAAAAGAACAAGTTAAAAATCACTTAGAAAAGTTAAATGCCTGCAAGTCACCAGGG